AAGGGGGTGAAGGGGGCGATTCTGCCATTGGGGGTGACTGGGGAGCTCTATCCTGGTGCGAGACTGTCGAGGGCAGCTGCTACACCTAGTGGGGCAAAAGAGGAAGTCCCACCTTTGGAAGGATGGTTCTAAAGGGGTCAGACAGGAAATCCTGCCTCCTAGTGGGCTTAGTGGGGAATTCGTAGTGTAGAACACCATTTACTGGAGGGTGGGGAAGTTCCTCCTACAGGAGAGCCACCCCAAGCGTTCAACACAGAAAATCCTGCCTTTTGCAGGGATGTGATGGTGCAATAAAGGAAATGGGTCGGGAACGCCCCCCGAAGGGGAGAAACGGGAAGTCCTGCCTTTTGTAGGGATGTGACAGTGCAATACAGGAAGTTCCACCCTCCGCAGGGTAGAGAATACTCAGCTGAGCGGTGGAACAGGAAGTCCCACCTTTTTAAAGGGACGTGATGTGCAATACAGGAATTTCTGCCTTCCGGAGGGTGGAAAATACTCCTAAAGGGGGCAAAGCAGGAAGTCCTGCCTTTTTGCAGAGATTGGTGGGTGCAAAACAAGAAGTCCCACCTTCTGGAAGGCAGGGAGACACGATTTGGGCCAATGAGCCTGCCTGACCATGGGAGGGGAACGCAACGATACCCCAAGGTACTTGTTGACTTAGAGGGGTGCAGTATAGCTGTGGAGGATACATCCCTTCCAATCACCCAGGGCAGGGCTAGGAAGTTGGGAGGCCCTTTGGGGAGCACCCCCTGGCAGGAATCTCCCTCTCGGTCCCCAGAAAATGCATGAGGATGCTCAGTGTATTGGGAATGTGTATAATCAACTCCAATCCCCATGGCCCTGCAGTTTTCTACCTCCCTCCCTGCTGGCTGTCTCCTCCCTTGCTCCGGCCTTGATCCGATGTCCCCTCCCCGGATTGCCTTTTCCACGGGATATTTCTTATAGCGTGTCTTTGGGATTGAAAACACAAACAGTCTTGCAGATTTAAAAAATGAGAAATTTAATAAAAATATATTAATAAAAAAAAGGGGAAATGGACTGACATCGTCTTCTTTCATGTTGGGAACCCAGGAGTCCGGGCTCCCCGGGGCTCTAACTGCTGCCCAGAGCCGGCCCGAGAACCCAGAAGTCCGGGCTCTAACCCCCGTCCCCCGTCCGAGAACCCAGGAGTCCGGGCTCTAACCCCCGCCCCGGGCCAGGCCGAGAACCCAGGAGTCCGGGCTCTACCCCCCACCCCCCGCCCGAGAACCCAGAAGTCCGGGCTCTAACCCCCGCCCCGGGCCAGGCCGAGAACCCAGGAGTCCGGGCTCTAACCCCCGCCGGGGCCGGGCAGAGAACCCAGGAGTCCGGGCTCCCCGATCGCCGGCCGCTGGGCAGGGAAGACTCCGCCCCCGGCTCCGCGCGCTCTATGGTATCGCATCCGAGAGCGGCCGCCGCTCACCATAGAGACGGCGCTTCCCAGAGAGGCTCCGACCATCCAGTGCAAGATAGAGCGGGCGCGCAGGGAGGGAGAAGGACGCTCTGGGAGGAGGCTGGAGGACTCCTTAGTGTCTCTATCGTCTTAAAGAGACATCCCCCCGCCCCCCCAGAGCCGGGGAGAGAACCCAGGAGTCCTGGCTCCCAACCCTCCAACCACTGGACCCCACTCCCCTCCCAGAGCTGGGGAGAGAACCCAGGAGTCCTGGCTCCCAACCCTCCAACTCTAACCCACCCACTATAATTACAACCACGTGGCCCCCGAGGGCAGAGAAATCAGCCATCAGGACCTCGAGCAAACCACGAAAGCAAAAAATGTTCCATTTCTGGGGCTTTTCACCCCCTCTGTGGTTCATGGGCTCCCTTTCCCGGGGCTGGGAATGGCCTAGAGGGAAGGCGAAATGACAGGATTCCTGAAGCTAGCAATTTAAGGGGAAGGGCTGGAGGTAACTTAGCAGAGTTGGAAGCGTGGTTGTTAGCCAGTTGGGTACGGAGGCTAGGGGGGTTGTAGTCCATCTGATACAGACCGGCGTGATTCATCCAGCCCATATCTGATGGGCGAGCTGGAGAGGAACGTGGACAGAGCCACCCGGTCTAGGTATAAATCAGGGGTCTCAAAAACGCAGCCACATGTGGCCGGCAGAGTTATTTCCTGTGGCCCGCCATAGGTGGACATAGGCGCCGACTCCACCAGCAGCCAAGCTCAGCCTCAGCCCCAGCCCCTGCTCCTCCCGAGCGCGCCGCGTCCCCGCTCCTCCGCTTACCTCCCAGTACTTCCTGCCACCAAACAGCTGTTTGGCGGCGCTCAGGACTTTCCAGGAGGGAGCAGGGATGCATGCACTCAGGGGAAGAGGCGGGGCCGGGGTGGGGATTTGGGGAAGGGGTTGGAATGGGGGCAGGGAGGGGGCGGAGTTGGGGTGGGGACTTTGGGAAGAGATGGGACACGGGCGGGGTCTTATGGAAGGGGTGGGGCCGGGGGAAGCAGGGGGAGGGGTGTCAGTGGTGCAGCCCTCGGGCCAATGTTCTCGTCCTCATGTGGCCCTCGTGGTGATTTGAGTTTGAGACCCCTGGTATAAAGCATCCAGACATTGGCGAATGAAGCAGTTCCCGTCAGGAATTCTCTCCTAGTTAACAATGGGTTTTATTTCCAGCTTGAAAACAGGGCCCCATTGTGCCGGGCGCTGCACAGACTCCAGCCGAGATCAGGGCCCCTGTCGTGTCAGGGGCTGCCCGGGTGCGGATGTCCGCTTGGGGCACCCCCTCCAGAGGATGGTCCCCTGTCGGGGTCCCCAAGCTGCCCTGGCTGTTACCACACTGAGGATTCTGGGCAGGGGGTCTGGGGTCTCCAGCCCTAAGGGATTCTGGGAAGGGTCCCCCCTCCCCGGCATCTCTCCAGCAACATGCTGGGGTCTCCAACCATCTCCATGACTTTGGCGGCCCTAGATGTGGCCCAGTCTGCTCCCCACAACGCTGTCCCATGTTCTTACCCAGCCCCTGGGGATTTTGGGAAGGGTCCCCTTGACATCTCTTCAGGGATACCCCGTGAAGTTCTTCCCAGCCCTGGAGGATTATGGGAAAGGGCCCCTTGGTGCCCCCACCAGGCCGCCCCATGCCCCTCCAGCGTCTCTGCAGGTGCAGGTCTCTGGCAGATGATCCGTCTTGCTCTTCCCATGGCCCAGCCTGGGCCTCGCCCCACCTCCAGGGTCCTGGGGGTGCTCCTGGACCCTCCTCTGACCGATGCACTTGGGTGTCCTCATCTCAGCCCTGGCAGGGGTGTGAGAAACACTCCCTGATGATGCCCCCCTGGGGACCCTCCATCTCAGCGCCTCTCCACGGGCTGGGGGTCCTGTACATGGCACCTGTTGACAGAACCGGGAGAGCAGGTCTGAGGAGGGAGACCCTGAGGAGTGGGGACCGGACAGCTCAAGCATTCGGCAGGGGTGGGGGTCAGTCTGGATTCCCCCAGGGGCTGGGGGACTAATCAAGGTTGGAGCTGGGGACTTGCATCTGTAACGGGGGCTCAGGGGGTTCAATCTGAGGGGTTGGATACTACGGGGGGGGGAGGAAGATGTTGTAATGACCTGGGCATAGGGGACCCCCCATCACCCAGGGACCCTGACTCTGTACAGACCCTGGGTTCCCCCTACTTTATAAGCTCTGCCCCCCTCAACTCCAGCCCCCCCCCCGCTCCACTCCAGCCCAGGGGTGAGGAGAGGGACTTCAGGGGTGGGGGACTGGACTGTGGGCTCTTTGGGGGGCTCTTATTTCCCACAACCAGAGAGAGGCCATGGCCCCCACCAATAGCACCCCCAGCCCGTCAAGGGCATCATCACTCAGCACCAACACAGAGGAGTCTGGGAGAGAACCCAGAAATCCGGGCCCACAGCCCCCACCAACCCACTGGGCCCCACTCCCCTCCCAGAGCCAGGGAGAGAACCCAGGAGTCCGGGCAGGCTCCCAGCCCCTCATTACCTAGTGTCCCTGATTGTAGTGTCTGCAGAGCCTGGGGGTTGCCCCTAGCCCCACACGCCCTCCGAGGCTGGGGTCGAAGGGGGATGGGCCAGGCTCCTTCTCCCTGGGTGGGACCCAGGCGTCCGCGGCTGCTGCTCTGCCCCGGTCCCACGCGCACTGAGCTCAGTGCCCCCAAGGGGTGGGTCCCGATGGAACGACACATCCCAGCTCCCCCTAAAGCCCCTCCCTCCTCAGAACCCCCCCCCCCGAAAACCAAGTAGCTCCCAGAACCCCCCGGTTCCCCCCAAAGACTCCCCCATTTTCCCCAGAACCCCCCCAGTTTTTGCCCCCAGAAGCCCCAATCCCTCAGTTATTGCCCCACCCCCTGCTTCCAGCCGAACCCCCAAGCAGTGCGTCCCCTGTTTTCCCAGAACCCCCAGGCCCCCCCAACCCCCAATTTTGCTCCCCCAACTCCCCAGTTGCCTCTTATCCCCACTGTTTTTGCTTCCCCAATCCCGCTCCGGCTCCCGGCGGCCTCAATGGGTGAAGTTCCGTCCCGCGGCCAGTAGGGGGCGCCGGCCGCCAGGTGAGCGCAGCGCACAGGTGAGGTCTTCTGCGGAAGTCCGGAGACAGGCAGGTAAGGGGGGGGCGGGGAGCGGAGCTCCCCCCCGTCCTGGAGAGATGGAGGGGCTGATTTAGGAGAGTAGGCAGGTGACGGGGAGGCGGCGGCCCAGGGATGTGCCAGGAGGGGGTCTGGTGTGGGGTAATGGGGGAAAGGAAATGTGGGGGGCAAAGAGGGAGGGGGCCCAGGTGCACGTGGCGGGCGGGAAGGGAGGGGTGAGGGGAGTGGGGGGATGGGGTCATGGAGGGGGAAATGGGCCCCGGGGGACCTGGGGGGGAGAGACGTGGGGAGTTGGGGGAAGGGCACTGGGGTGGAGGCAGGGCCCAGGTGTGGGGGGGAGGGAGGGAGTGAGGGAGTGAGGGAGAGGGGATGGGGAGCGGGGGGACTGGGATACGGGGTTCAGTTAGGGGCCGCTGTGTCTGGGGAGTAACCCCTTCCCTCTCCTCCCAGGATGGGGGACCCCCTCATGACGCTCCCGGAGCTGATCCGGGGAGTGCGGGGGGCGCGGACGCAGGAGCTGGTGCAGCGGGAGTGTGCCCGGATCCGGGGGGCCATTCGGACCGGGGACCCCCAGGCCGGCACCACCAACCTCACCAAACTGCTCTACATCCACCTGCTGGGGTACCCTGCCCACTTTGGCCAGGTATGGGAACCGCACCCTGATATACCCCAGGCCCCCACTGCACCCCCACACCTCAATATCCCCCACTGCACCCCCAGAGCTCCTACTGCCCCACTGCATCCCCAGCTCCCCCAATGCACCCCAGACCCTTATATTTCCCACTGCACCCCTGACCTCCTACTGCCCCTCTGCACCCCGATATCCCCCACTGTACCCCCAGACCCTGATATTCCCCTACTGTACCCCCAGGCCCCCCACTGGACACCCACACACAGATATCCCCTAATGTACCCCCAACCTCCTACTGCCTCTCCACACCCCAATATCCCCCACTGCACCCCGAGACCCTCACTGCACACCCAGGCCCTGATATTCCCCACTGCACCCCCAGACCTCCATGCCCCAATATCCCCCACTTCACCCTCAGACCTTGATATCACTAACTGCACACCCAGGCCCCCCATTGCACCTCCACACCCCAAGGCTCCTCACTGCCACCCCCACACCACAATAACCCCCTTTGCACCTCTAGTCCCCCCAAGATCTCTATATCTTGCCTTCATGCCCCCAGGGACCCCCAAACCCTGCCCTGCTGTGCCCCAAGGCCTGGTGGGACCCCAATATCACCCCACTGCACCCCTAACCCCCATCTGCTCCCCCCAGGAGGGACCCCAGCAGGGCAAGATGGGTACTAAGATTATTGTTAATTTCTCTTCCATCTGTCGCTCCTGAACTGCCTGCACCCCCAATCCTCCCACCCTGTACCCCCATCTCCCAGTGGCACCCCTCTGCGTCCCTTTCCTCCAGCATCCTCTCCCCTTCCCTGTTGCCCATCCCCCCACTGATCCCCTCTACCCCATGCGCCCCCTTGTCCCCCCAGATGGAGTGTCTGAAGCTCTTGGCCTCACCCCAATTCCACCAGAAGCGGATAGGCTACCTGGGTGCTGCGCTCCTATTGGACGAGAGGCAGGACGCCCACTTGCTCCTGACCAATAGCATCAAGAAGTGAGGGGGGAGCTCAAGAGGGCTGGTGTTTGGGGGGGCTGAGGATTGGAGATTTGGGGGGACCCCAAGGGGGCTCATGATTCTGAGGGTCTCTGGCTGAGATATGGGGGTTCAGGAAGTCAGGGGAGCTTCTGGCTATGGGGCACTAGAGGTTTGGGGGGCTAGGGTTGAATCTGGGCAGTGAAGACAGGAATTTGGGGTTCAGAGGATGAGGTTGGAGGGGTTGCGGTGTCCAGGCCAGGGTTTGGGGGGCTGAGAGCTGGGCTATGCTGGTTTGGGATCCAGGTCCCTGGCCCAGTCCTCAGGGTTCACCCCCTGTCTCCCCGCAGTGACCTGGCGCACCCCTCGCCCTGCGTGCAGGGCCTGGCGCTGGCCTGTCTGGGCTGCCTGGGCTCGGCCGGGATGTGCCGCGACCTGGTGGGGGAGGTGCAGCGACTGGCGGGAGACGCCCTGGCCCCCGTGCGCAGGAAGGTGAGTGGGTACCCCCCAACCTCCCTGCCCCCCAACCCCTCCTCGCCGGGACCCCCATCCCCTACGATCCCTCTGCCCTCGAAGCCTCCCTTGTTCCCCCTTCCCCCACTCCCTTCTGCTCCCTATAACCCAGATCCCTGCCCCCCTGCAAGTCCTAACCCCCGCCTCTGCCCCCCAGGCTGTGGCCTGCGCTGTCCACATGGTCCGCAAAGTCCCGGAGCTCTCCGACATCTTCATCCCCGTCTGCGACCGGCTCCTCAAGGAGCACAGCCAAGGTGAGGGACCACGAAACACACCATCCCCCCATCCTCGGTGCCGCCCCCCCAGGAACCTGCTCCCCCGGCCGCCGGGAACCTCTGCCCCCTGAAATGCCCCATCCCCCCGATCCTCAGTGCCCCCCCGGCCGCCGGGAACCTCTGCCCCCTGAAACGCCCAGTCCCCCCGATCCTCAGTGCCCCCCCCGGACCTACCCCCCTGGCCACCAGGAACCTCTGCCCCCTGAAAAGCCCCATCCCCCCGATCCTCAGTGCCCCACCCCCCAACCGGCTCCTCAAGGAGCGCAGCCACAGTGAGGGACCCCAAAATGCACTGTCCCCCCCATCCTCAGTGCAGCCCCCCCCGGGGACCTACCCCCCGGCAGCTGGGAACCTCTGCCCCCTGAAACACCCCATCCCCCCAATCCTCAGTGCCCCACCCCCCCATCTGCCAGGAACCTCTGCCCCATGAGATGCCCCTTCCACTTCCTCAGTGCCCCCCCTCAACCGCTGGGAACCTTTGCCCCCTGGAACGCCCAGTCCCCCCAATCCTCAGTGCCCCACCCCGTGGCCACCAGGAACCTCTGCCCCCTGAAACGCCCCGTCCCCCCGATCCTCAGTGCCCCACCCCCCAACCGGCTCCTCAAGGAGCGCAGCCACGGTGAGGGACCCCAAAATGCACTGTCCCCCCCATCCTCAGTGCAGCCCCGCCCCGGGGACCTATCCCCCCCAGCAGCTGGGAACCTCTGCCCCCTGAAACACCCCATCCCCCCAATCCTCAGTGCCCCACCCCCCCATCTGCCAGGAACCTCTGCCCCATGAGATGCCCCTTCCACATCCTCAGTGCCCCCCCCAGCCGCTGGGAACCTCTGCCCCCTGGAACGCCCAGTCCCCCCAATCCTCAGTGCCCCACCCCGTGGCCACCGGGAACCTCTGCCCCCTGAAACACCCCGTCCCCCCGATCCTCAGTGCCCCACCCCCCTGTCTGCCGGGAACCTCTTCCCCCTCATACGCCCCCCAATCCTGAGTGCCCCCCCGGCCGCCGGGAACTTCTGCCCCCCTGAAACGCCGCAACCCGCTGGAGAACCCCCCCATCCTGCGCTGTGATCCTGCCTCAGCGCGTGGGACCCCGGAGGGCCTTCCACCCCATCCTTTCTAGGGTGGGGGGGGGGAGCAGACATGTGGGGATGGAGGGATGGACCCCTAGAGGGACCTTCTGCCTCCAGCCCCTCCTCTGACCCTCTGCTGCCTGGCAGCAGCCATGGAATCCGGTCTGTGGGTGCTGCAGACGGGGGGTGTCGCCCCCCCGGGGTCCAGCGGTTGGGTCTCGCCACCTGCAGTGAGTCTGCCCAGGCCTCCCTGGTCCCTTAGACTCCAACCCAGATGGACTCAAACACCCCCTCCCCCAGCGGCTAGGGAGACCGTCGGGAAACTGAGGCACACCTAGGGGTCATACCCCTCTCAGCAAAATACCCTCGTAGGCCCATGACCCCCAACCGCAGAGGAGCTGGCCCCTGCCAAAGATTGTCCTGCAGCCCCAAATGTTAACTGATGCCCTGGTGAGGGACTTCAGCCCAGAGAGAAGGGGCAGGGGGTTACAGTCCTTGCCCTGAGCCCCGGGACTTGACTGACACCTGTCGGCCTCATGTCAGGCCTCCTTCACGGCACCCTGCTGTTGATCACGGAAATGTGCGAGCGAAGGCCCGATGTCTTGAATCACTTCCGCAAGGTGAGAGAACCCAGGAGTCCTGGCTCCCAGCACCCCCCAGCTCTAACCACTACGCCCCACTCCCCTCACGCAGCTGGGAGAGAACCCAGGAGTCCTGGCTCCCAGGACCCCCTGCTCTAACCACTACACCCCACTCCCCTCACACAGCTGGGAGAGAACCCAGGAGTCCTGGCTCCCAGGACCCCCTGCTCTAACCACTATGCCCCACTCCCTTCACGCAGCTGGGAGAGAACCCAGACCCCACTCCCCTCCCAGAGCTGGGAATAGGTGTTCCCAGAGGGTGGTAGGGGATATGGGGGGGTGGGGAGAGAAGGGAGGGGGTGATGGGAGTGATATGGGAGGCAATGTATTCACCCCCCTTCCCCCTGCAGGCCGTGCCCCGAGTGGTGGAGATTCTGCACAACTTGGAGGTGTCAGGGTACTCGCTGGAGCACAGCATCATGGGGGTCAGCAACCCCTTCCTGCAGGTACCCCCTTCCCTGCCCCCCAGCCTCGCGCTCCCCACCTTGCCCTTCCCCATCCCCTCAAACACACTTCCCCCCCAACTCCTTCCCAGGCCTCTGCCATCCCCCAAGTCCCCCCACCGCCCCTGCCCCTTGGGGTCCCTCTCACCACCCTCCCCCGACACCTCCCTCTCTGACCCCCCCAATTTCCCCCCCCAGGTGCGCGCCCTGCGGCTGCTGAGAGTCCTTGGACAGGGCAGCAAGGAGGCCAGCGAGGCCATGAACGACACCCTAGCCCAGGTGGGTGGGGCATGGGGTGGGGGAGGGGGGAGCAAGCACCGAGCCGGCACTGATCCCCTCCATGTCCCCCCTGCCAGGTGGCCATGAACACGGAGACCTTGCACAACGTGGGCAGCGCGGTGCTGTACGAGACGGTCCTGACCATCACGGCGGTGCACTCGGCACCCGGCCTGCGGGTACGGGGGGCACAAACCTGAGCCTACCCATTGGGGGAAGCACTCCTCCACCCGGGACTCTGGCTTGCTCCCCCCTTCCCCCAATCAGTTGAGAATCCAGCAGCAGGTAGTTCCACAGGTTAACGCCCCCCCAACTGCCTCCCAGGCATCATTTAACCCTGGGGCCTGATTCCCCACTCCCTCTCTGCCTGCTCTGCCCCATCCCCTCCTTCCTCCCCACTCATTCGTTCTCTTTGCCCTGCTCCCCGTTCCCTCCCCCAGTCGGACCCGAATCCAGTAGCAGGTAGTTCCGCAGGTCAATGCACCCAAACTGCCCCCAAAAGCAATCTAATCATGAGACCCATTTCCCCACTCATTCTTTGGCTTCTCTGCCCCATTCCTCCCTGACGCCCCACCAATCCTCCTCCAATTCTCTCTCCCTTTCCCTCATTCCCAGCCCCCTCCCTTCAACATTTGGGCTAAAATCCATTAGTGGGTAGTTCCGCAGGTTAACACCACCCAACCCACTCCTAGGTGTATTCTAACCCTGGGATCTGATTCCCTGCTCATTCCCTGGCTGCTCTGCCCCATCCCCTCCTTCCCAGCTTCCCTCCCCCAGTCTGGGACTGGTACAATGGGGTAAGTTGTCTCCAGTTTCAGCCTCTTCCCCCTGTTCTCCCCCCCCCCCCCCCCCCCCCCAGGTTCTGGCTGTCAATATTCTGGGACGATTCCTCCTCAGCAGGGATCGAAACATCAGGTAAAAGGACCCAGGCGTCTGGTATGCTCCCCGTGGCCCCTAGTAAGAAAGGGGGCAGGAAGAGACCAGGACTGGGAAAGGTCCCCAGGTGTCCGGGACATTAGCCCCCTGTGGAGATGGAGTGGGTTGGGGGGGAACGGAGGGAGCAGGGGGTGGGGCGGTCAGGGAGGATGAGGGGCAAGGGCTGGGTTTTGGGTGAGAAAGGGAGAGGGGGTGGGGCTAGATTGGTGGGGGTCCAAGAGGGTGGAGAGGAGCTGTTTTGAGGAGTTGGGAGGATCGGGAGAGGGGCTGGGTTGGGGGACCTGAGTTTGGGGGGGTGAGGAGGGGCTGAGTGGGGGGATCTGAGTTTGGGGGCCAGGGCAGGGAGGGGCTGGGTTGGGAGACCTGAGTTTGGGAGTACAGGGTGGGGAAGGGCTGGGTCAGGGGATCTGTGTTTGGGGGTGCAGGGGGCAGTGGCTGGATCGTGGGATCTGAGTTTGGGGGCCAGGGCAGGGAGGGGCTGGGGGGGCTGGAGAGCGTCCGGGAGGCCACGTGGGGCACTCACCCCAGGGCGGGGGCTGTCCCCCAGGTCCGTGGCCCTGATGTCCCTGCTGCGGCTGGTGCGTGTGGAGCAGAGCGCCCTCCAGAGGCACCGGGCCACCGTGCTGGCTTGTCTGCGCGACCCGGACCCCTCCATCCACCGGTGAGACACGGGGGGGCGACCTCCCCCTCTTCCCCCCTGTGACCGACCCCCCCCCGTGACCGATCCCCCCCGGTGACTGACCCCCTCTCCCCGCCCAGCGTCAGTTCCCCCTGCCCCCAGTAACTGACCCCTCCCTCCCTGCCCCCAGACGTGCCCTGGATCTCAGCCTGGCCCTGATGACGGGCGCCAACGTCCGGACCATGACCCAGGAGCTGCTGGGGTTCCTGGAGACCTGCCCCCCCGGCCATGAAGCCCCCCTGTGCCTCTGGGCTGCTCTTCGCCGCCGAGAGGTAAGTCTGGCTGGCAGGGGGCATGATGGGGAGCGGGGCCAGGGGGTCACCGTGTGGCCCCCCCTCACCCCTTTTATCTCTTGTCACCCCCAGATTTGCCCCAAACAAACGCTGGCACATAGATACCATGCTGCAAGTGCTGACCATGGTGAGAGGCGGGGATCTCGGGATGCAGGGAGCACAGAGGAGTCTGGGGGGGCAGCGGGGAGATCGGGGTGCAGGAGGCATGCAGAGGGACCTGGGGGCATGGGGAGATCGGGGTGCAGGGAGCATGTGGAGAGACCTGGGGGGGGGCAGCGTGGTTGTGGGTGGGGGTGAGACTGGGCTGGAGGGGATAGTTGGCGGGGGGAGATGGGGGAAAGAGCTTGTATTCTCCCCGTCACGGTGCAGGTGTCATATAGAACATGAGTTGTGACAATGTCTGTTTCTAGGGGCTCCCATGAGGCACTGCCATCCTCCCATGTCTGTTTCCAGGCTCTGCGCCCCACCCTGGAAACTGACAGAGGGTCCCTTTTAGACCCTTTGGGCTCTTTAACTCATTAGTGGCTGGCTAGGAATAGATGGGAGAGGGGAGGGAGGGGCACTGGGGTAAGTGGCAGGGAGGAGGGGCAGATGGGGGACGGGGGAGGGGTGGATAGGGTTCTGTGGGAGGTGAAGGAGGAGGGGGAAGGAGGGATGGGGGGCCCGGTGGGTGGGGGGCAGCGGGTAACCAGGTCTCCCCTGCCCCAGGCCGGCTCCTCGGTGCCGGACAATGCTGTCTCCCGCCTGATCCAGCTGATTGTGGGGGCTGGGGAGCTGCACCCCTACATCATGAGACGTCTCTATGGGGCACTGGCCTGCGATATCTCCCAGGTGAGGGGGGGTCTCGGTGGGGGAGGGGGAGAAGGGAGGATGGAGGAGACGAGTGGGGGGCGGTGGAGTCCTGGTGGGGGGCGGGGCCAGGCAGTTTTGGGGGTGGCTAAGCCCCACTGTCTAATTTGGGGGTCGTCCCCCACCCTGCTTTTCCCCCAGCAACCCCTGGTGCAGGTGGCCACCTGGTGCATCGGCGAGTATGGCGACCTTCTCTTAGCCGACAGCTGCGAGGAGGCGGAGCCTGTGCAGGTCAGGGGGCGGGGCTGCAAGCTGGAGCGGCGGGGTCAGGGGCATTGGGGTGCCTGGCTGTGGGGCAGCAGGGGAATGGCACGGCTCACCCCTTGCCCCGTGTCGCCCCCCGCAGGTGGAGGAGGGGCAGGTGCCGGCGCTGCTGGAGCGGGTGCTGCAGTCTCACCTCTCGCTGCCCCCCACGCGAGCCCTCGCCCTGACGGCCCTCATGAAACTCAGCACCCGCCTGCCGGGGGACATCGAGTGAGGCACCCCCAGGATCCCCGTGCATGCTCCCTGCACCCCAAATCCCCCTCAGCACCCCCAGAATCCCCGTGCATGCTCCCTGCACCCCAAATCCCCCTCAGCACCCCCAGAATCCCCGTGCATGCTCCCTGCACCCCAAATCCCCCTCAGCACCCCCAGAATCCCCGTGCATGCTCCCTGCACCCCAAATCTCCCTCAGCACCCCCAGAATCCCCGTGCATGCTCCCTGCACCCCAAATCTCCCTCAGCACCCCCAGAATCCCCGTGCATGCTCCCTGCACCCCAAATCCCCCTCAGCACCCCCAGAATCCCGGTGCATGCTCCCTGCACCCCAAATCCCCCTCAGCACCCCCAGAATCCCGGTGCATGCTCCCTGCACCCCAAATCCCCCTCAACACCCCAGAACCCGGTGCATGCTCCCTGCACCCCAAATCCCCCTCAGCACCCCCAGAATCCCCATGCATGCTCCCTGCACCCCAAATCTCCCTCAGCACCCCAGAATCCCCGTGCATGCTCCCTGCACCCCAAATCTCCCTCAGCACCCCCAGAATCCCCGTGCATGCTCCCTGCACCCCAAATCCCCCTAGCACCCCAGAATCCCTGTGCATGCTCCCTGTACCCCAAATCTCCATCGACCCCCACCCTCATGCCCCAAATCCCCTCCACCCCAAATCTCCATCACCCCTACACCCCAAATCTCCATTGACCTCCAGAATCCCTTTGCATGCTCCCTGCACCCCCAAATCCCCACTGCACCCCCAGAATCCCTGTGCATGCTCCTTGCACCCCCAGAATGCCTTCTCCACCCCAATGTCACATGCATACTCCCTGCACCCCATATCTCTGTGTATGCTCCCTGCACCCTCAACATCCCCATGCACATTCCCTGTACCCCAGATCCCCTCTACACCCCAGAATCCCTGTGCATGCTCCCTGCACCCCCAAAATCCTCTCTTCCCTCCCTGATTTTTATGAATCCTCCCAGAACTCTCCCTGCACCCCATGTCCCCACTGTGGCTCCAAACCCAGCAGCACCCCAATGTTGTGCATGCACCCAAAATCTCCTTGGAACCCCCACCAGCTCCCCCATGCACCCGGAAATCCTTCCTGCCCCCCATCTCCAGGCACCTTTCTTCCCCCCGCCTTTCCCTTCACCCCCTAGCCCCCCTTTACCGCTGGAAGTTGATGGGCCCCCAATTTGTCTCCACCCAGCCGCATCCGGCGGATTGTCTCGGTGTTCGGCAGCTGCCATGACATCGAGCTCCAGCAGAGGGCGGTGGAGTACAACGCCCTCTTCAGGAAATATGACCACCTCAGGTAGCGGGAGGGCGGGGAGCCAGGACTCCTGGGTCCCATCCCTGGCTCTGGGTGGAGAGTGGGGGCTGGTGATTGGAGCCGGGGGGGCTGGGAGCCAGGACTCCTGGGTTCTCTCCCCTGGTCTGGGAGGGGAGATGGGTGTAGTGGGGGGCGGGCTGGGAGCCAGGTCTCCTGGGTTCTCTCCCCGGGTCTGGGAGGGGAGTGGGGTGTAGTGGGGGGCGGGCTGGGAGCCAGGTCTCCTGGGTTCTCTCCCCCGGGTCTGGGAGGGGAGTGGGGTGTAGTGGGGGGCGGGCTGGGAGCCAGGTCCCCTGGGTTCTCTCCCTGGGTCTGGGAGGGGAGTGGGGGTGTAGTGGGGGGCGGGCTGGGAGCCAGGTCTCCTGGGTTCTCTCCCCCGGGTCTGGGAGGGGAGTGGGGTGTAGTGGGGGGCGGGCTGGGAGCCAGGACTCCTGGGTTCTCTCCCCGGGTCTGGGAGGGGAGTGGGGTGTAGTGGGGGGCGGGCTGGGAGCCAGGTCTCCTGGGTTCTCTCCCCGGGTCTGGGAGGGGAGTGGGGTGTAGTGGGGGGCGGGCTGGGAGCCAGGACACCTGGGTTCTCAGGCTCATTCCCACAGGGCGTCTGTGCTGGAGAAGATGCCGCTGGTGAAGGCTGAGGAAGAGGAAGGAGCTGAGGTTGTTGCACCAGGAGGCCAGAAGAGGGCGCCGTCCTCCACCGCTCAGGAGGAGCCCAGCCAGGTGTGGAACGTGTCCCGGGGCTGGGGGGCGCTGGGCTGGAGGGGGGCGTCCTGGCCGTGCCCCTTCTCCCAGCCTGGTCTGGGGGGGCGCTGGGCTGGAGGGGGGGCGTCCTGCGCGGGCGGGGGGTGCCCCTTCTCCCAGCCTGGTCTGGGGGGGCGCTGGGCTGGAGGGGGGCGTCCTGGCCGTGCCCCTTCTCCCAGCCTGGTCTGGGGGGGCGCTGGGCTGGAGGGGGGGGTGTCCTGGCCGTGCCCCTTCTCCCAGCCTGGTCTGGGGGGGCGCTGGGCTGGAGGGGGGCGTCCTGGCCGTGCCCCTTCTCCCAGCCTGGTCTGGGGGGGCGCTGGGCTGGAGGGGGGGGTGTCCCGGCCGTGCCCCTTCTCCCAGCCTGGTCTGGGGGGCACTGTGCTGGGGGGCTCCTAGACACTCCCTGTCCCCCCCAACCCCCGTCCCACCTTCTCTCTCCTCCTGTAGGTCGCCGACCTCTTGGATCTCCTTGGGGGGCCCCCAGCTGACCCCCTGGTCCCCGCAGGCTCAGACACTCCTGTGGCCGAATCTCTGCTGGACTTGCTGGAAGACGTGACAACTGGTGATAAATCAGGGGGAGGCTGGGGTCAAGCGGTGGGGCAGTGAGGAATGGGGGGCTGGGAACTGGTGGGGGAGTTAGGAATGAGGGGGGCTGGGGTCAGGTGGGGGGGCAGTGAGGAGTGGGGGGCTGGAAAGAGGCTGGGTTGAGGAATGGGGGGGCTGGGGTCAAGTGTGGGGGCAGTGAGGAATGGGGGCCTGGGATCAGGTGGGGTGGTGAGGAGTGGGGGGCTGGAAAGGGGCTGGGTTGAGGAATGGGGGGGCTGGGGTCAAGTGTGGGGGCAGTGAGGAATGAAGGGGGGGCTGGGAATCAGTGGGGGCATTTTGTGGAGTGGGGAGTGGGGGCACCCGTGAGTCCTTGGTGTCAATCTCTCACCCCCCCAGCGCCCCCCATCCCCCCGCTGAGGGTGTGGGAGGGGGACGGGCTGCGGCTGGACTTTGCCTTCCAGCGCCCCCCAGCCGACCCCCACCTGCTCCTCATCACGGCCAGCGCCAGCCGCACCCAGCCCGGCACCACCTCGGGGTTCCTGCTCCAGGCGGCCGTGCCCAAGGTGAGCCCCCCTTCCTGGTGCCCCGCTCCCCTCTGGGGGGACTGGAGTCCCGCCTTAGGGACAGGGACGATCTCTGGCATGGGGGAGGGGGAACTGGAGCCATAGGGCAGGGTGGGGGGCTGGGGTACGGGCTGGGTGGGGGAGGGGAGAGGAAGGGGCAGAGCATGGGGAACAGGGGGCATTTCAGGGCTGGGTTGCCCCCCACTGACCCCCCCACCCCTCAGGCTCTGCAGGTGCAGTTGGAGGCCCCCAGCGGGACGTCGGTGCCGGGCCCCGATGGGGCCCCCCTGAGCCAGCAGCTGCGTGTGCGGAACCCCGGCCAGGTGAGGGGGGGCATCAGCCCGGGGATCCCCTCCCCCATATCTCTCCTCACAGCCCCCACCCTGACTCCCCCTTCTCTCCCCAGGCTCCCCTGCGGATGCGCCTGCGACTGGCCTATACGCCCCCCGCGGGGGTCCCGGTGCAGGAGACCCTGGAGATCAACGACTTCCCTGCAGCTGCCTGGCAGTGACCGACCCCCCCAGCCGTGAGGACCCCGCCCCCGGGCCATGGTTCCTGCCAGCCGCCACCAGGGGGCGCTGTTGATCCGGACAGAGATGGGGGAGGGCTGCGTAAATAAAAACAGCCCCCCCCCCACCCGGAGAGACAGAGTCTGTGTCCAGTGTGTGTACATTGGGGGGGAGCGGGGCGGGGGGGCACTGCCTGGGTTGGGGTTTGGGGCTGGTGAGAAAGGGAGGGGTCTGGACGTCAAGCATGGGGTGGGGACTAGGAGTGGGGGCAGGGAAAGGGAGGGGGGGATCCCAGGCCGGGGGGGGCTGGTTGGGGGGCAGGCAGACCCAGGGGGCATCCCAGGTGGGGGGAGGGGGATCCCAGGCCTGGGGGGGCAGGTTGGGGAGGAAGCAGAGGGAGAGGGGGATCCCACGCCAGGAGGGGCTGTTTGGGGGGCAGGCAGAGGGAGGGGGGATCCCAGGCGGGATGCGGGGAGGAGAGGCTGGGGGGGAAGCAGAGGGAGGGGGGATCCCTGGCGGGGGGGAGGTGGATCCTAGGCCTGGAGGGAAGGGATGCGGGGGGGCAGACAGAGGGAGGGGGATCCCAGGTCTGGGGGGGCAGGTTGGGGAGGAAGCAGAGGGAGGGGGGATCCCACGCCAGGAGGGGCTGTTTGGGGGGCAGACAGAGGGAGGGGGGATCCCAGGCCTGGGGGGGCTGGTTGGGGGGAGGGCGGCTCGGAAGCGCTGGGGAAGCCCAGGGCAGGGCGGATTCCCTCCCCCCACCCAGGATCGCTGCCATCGAGCGGGTTTCTCCGGCGGCTGGAATCCGCATCCGGCGGGGGCGGAGCCGGGTCCCGCCAGCAGGTGGCGCTGCTGCCCCTCCCCCGCTTCATTCATATTCCAGCCGGGGCGCCGCCCCCCGCCTCCAATTAACTTGGTGCCTCACTGCAGCGTCCCCCCCCCGCGCCCGCCCCCGCCCCCGTCGCGCCGGGCGGGGGGAAGCGGCGGAGCGAAGGAGCCGTAATGGCCGGGGGCCTGAGATTGCCCCTCACTCCCGCCCCGCAGCCCCCCCACCCCCTCCGCGCCCCTCACTACCACCCCGCAGCCCCCTGCCCCCCCCGCCCCGACCCGCCATGCCCCTCAGTCCCGACCCGCAGCCCCCCACCCCGCCAGTGCCCCTCACTACCACCCCGCAGCCCCCTGCTCCCCCCTGCCTTGCCGGTGCCCCTCACTCCCGACCCGCAGCCCCCCCACCCCCCCCGGTGCCCCTCACTACCACCCCGCAGCCCCCTGTCCACCCCCGCCCCGCCAGTGCCCCTCAGTCCCGACCCGCCATGCCCCTCAGTCCCGACCCGCAGCCCCCCATCCCGCCAGTGCCCCTCAGTCCCGATCCGCAGCCTCCCCACACCCCCACACCCCGCCGGTGCCCCTCACTACCACCCCACAGCCCCCTGCTCCCCCCTGCCTTGCCGGTGCCCCTCACTCCCGACCCGCCATGCCCCTCAGTCCCGACCTGCAGCCCCCCCACCCCCCCGCCCCGCAGGTGCCTCTCACTCCTGACCCGCAGCCCCCCCGCCCCGCCGGTGCCCCTCACTACCACCCCGCAGCCCCCTTCTCCCCCCTGCCTTGCCGGTGCCCCTCACTCCCAACCCGCAGCCCCCCCACCCCCCCCACCCCGCCGGTGCCCCTCACTCCTGACCCGCAGCCCCCCTGCCCCGCCGGTGCCCCTCACTACCACCCCGCAGCCCCCTGCTCCCCCTGCCCCGCCGGTGCCCCTCACTCCCGAACCGCAGCCCCCCCCCACCCCCCCGCCCTGCTGGTGCCCCTCACTGCCGACCTGCAGCCCCCCCTAGCCCAGCCCTGGGCCCCTCCTGGCCCTGCTGGTGCCCCTCAGTCCCTCAGCCTCCTGTGGTTCGCCTGGCACTGGATTTTCTCTGTTGTTTCCGTCTGTCTGTGCCCATGTGATGGGGGGGCCGTGCCAGCCCCCTCTGTCCTCTCCTTGCCTTCACCACCCACGTGAATTCGCTCCTCAGTTAATTGGATTTCTGTTCCTGGTGATTGGGGTGTGGGGGGCAGGGTATTTGGGGGGCCTCGCGCCGGGGGTCCTTAAAACAAGAGAAAAGGCTGAAGTCATGAAGGAGGGGTGAGGGCCACAGACCAAGCAAGGTGGAAGGAAAGGAGCCAGGGAGGGGCAAGCGGGAACGAGGAAGGAAGAAGGGCTCAGGGAGAAGCCCGCGGCTTCGGGGGTGTCGGGGGGGGGTCTTCACCTGGCAACAGGAGGCTGAGTGAGACTCAGCAAAGGGTTGCCTGTACTGCACAGCTTACTAACATGGGCCCCGCCAGTCAGTGAGAGAACCCAGGAGTCCGGGCTCCCAGCGCCTCCCTCCCCGCTCTAACCACTGGCTCCCTCCCCGCTCTAACCACCGCACTCCCCTCCCAGATCTGGGGAATGGAACCCAGGTATCCTGGCTCCCAGCACCAGCCTGGGAGTTTTGTTTGTCTTCCCGTGTGCCGTTTTCTCCTTCTTTCTTCCCCTTGTATCCCCTCCCTCACCCCCCCTCCCCTGCTCCGGAAGAATTTTAATTAGTGTCTCAGGTTTAATTAATTCAGATGCTAATTAACGAGGCGGCGGGGGTGGGTGGAGGGCCCAGATTGGGGGGGAGGGGGGCGGATGGGCCCAGCGGGCTTGGCATGATGCCACCACTGTCTGGGAGAATGGGCCGGAGTGGGGGAGGGGAATGGACAGAATGAAGAAGGGCAGCGGGCGGAGGAGTGATGGGGTGGCTGTCTCCCCGCCCCCTCCAGGTCCAGAGATGGGCACCCACCAGGCCAGGCAGGGAAAGAGGGAGCGAGAGGGTGGTGAGATGGCATGAGAGTGGAAACGGGAGGGAGGGAGAGCAGAGGAAGTGGGCGGGCTGGCCAGAGCGAAAGAACAAGGCAGGCGGAGAGGAGGGGCTACAGCATCTGCCAGCCCTGATGCCCAGAGTGACGCTGTGCGGGGGGAGGGGCACCAGCTGCCAGGGAGATGCCCCCTCCCCCCACGCTGCGGCATGGCTTGGTGCCACCCAGGGAGGGGGAGGGGGACAGCCCGGCGGGCACCCTCGCGGGGGGAGGTGCCAGCCTTGTGCCCATGGGGACACAGCCCCCCCCCCACGTGCCAGCCCTCAGCCAGCTGGCATTGAGTCAAAGGTGCCGGCTGGTGGGCGCGCGGGGGGCGGGGAGCGGCTGGCACACAGCCCCCAACACAGGCACGGAGAGCGACTGGCATGGAGCACTGGCATTGTCAGAGAAAGAGATGGGTGTGTACAGGGCCGGATCAATAGCATGGGGATGGAGGGGGCGATGGAGAGAAACAGGGAGTGCATGGGGGTGGAGAGATGGGTGTGCACAGGGCCGGATCAATAGCATGGGGATGGAGGGGGCGATGGAGAGAAACAGGGATTGCATGGGGGTGGAGAGATGGGTGTGCACAGGGCTGGCTGGCTAGACAGAAAAAGGGATGTACAGGGATGGGTAGAGCGATAGATAGAGGGGCGTACAGGGATGGACGGCTAGGTTAGGCAGGTAGCTGGGGGAGAGAGAGAGGGGAGTGGGGAGGGAGGGAGGGAGGGATGGATACCTATGGAGGGCAGGACAGAGAGAACTGCAGAGGTGCAGGGTTAGCGGGGTGGGGAAGGAGGGATGGAGAAATGGCGGGGGAGTGAGTCTTTCTGTCTCCAGGCCGGGAGGGAGAAAGAGGCTCAGAACCAGCCATTGAGAATTTTCAGCACTTTTAATATTTCCACTTTTCTCTCTCCTCCGCGTCGCCCACCCCTGGGTACCACTGCCCTTGGCACCCTCCAAGTGGGGCTGCCATTGCCCGGCGAGTGAGCCACCTGCCTGACCCAGTGCTGCCACAGAGGCAGCGAAGAGAGAAAGAAGGCCGACCAGGCCCACCAAGGCCCAGCTAGCCACAGTGGGGCACCATGGGCAACAGCTGGATCACTGAGAACCAGGGCTGGAACAGAGAGATGGGGACAGCCCAGAGAGAAGAGAAAGAGCGATCGATCTATCACCATTCACCCTCTCTGTCTGTCTATCTGTCCATCCCCACCCACCCCTCTCTCTATCCCCATCCGCCTCTCTCTCTCTCTCTCTATCCCCATCCGCCTCTCTCTCTCTCTCTCATCTCCCGCAGAGACTGGCTGAGGAAGAGGAGGAGAAGTCACCGGAGGAAGATCTCAACCCCCCTATTGGTCCTGCCGCCTGGACACAAAGAGTCTCTTCGTTTCTCAGGGTGAGCGTGTGGTGGAGGGAAGGGACGCGTCGGCAATAGCAGAGGTGGGAAAACCAATGGAGGTGTTCAAGAAAAGGGGAGGTCGGGCATCTTCGCAGCCGTGCTTCCTGATTGGCCAAGGGAGTGATGTCCACACCTGTGAAAAGTGAATACCGTGTTCGGATTGGCTGAGGGGATGAGATGACAAAGGGTGTCTTGTCTGTACTACTCTTGAAGGGCCCTTCCCATCCTTTCGTCCACCTTTGGCCACTAGAACAAGCCAAATGGGCTCAGAACTTTCCGATGTTTCCCAGCCGGACAAAGTCATGGCATCCCCCAAACACCAGTTCCAGGCAGCCACTCCATGGGATTCCCCTCCTGCGGGGCACAGTGGCCTTGGAATGGGATGGGGCAGCTGGGATTTCCTGGGAAGCAGAATTTCCCAAGGATTTTCTGTCTGGAATACTAAAAGGATGGGATAAAAATTTGGATTGTCATTTGGATTAGGCAGAAATATTTCCATTGGGTCTTGGTGAAACATTTCCATTAGACATTATCCTTTGGATTATATTATATTATATTGAGATAGAAAGGATAGATTAGATAGAGGGGGTGCATGGGGATAGATAGATAGATAGATTAGATAGATATGTAAGGGGATGGATGGATAGATGAGATGGGTGTAGATGGGGATGGATGGACGGATGGATAGATAACTAGACATGTGTCTGGAAGGATGGATGGATGGATGTGTAAATAGATGTGTGTATGGGAATAGTTGGCTGGCTGGCTGGGTAGATAGATGGGTGTAGATGGAAGGATTACATAGATAGCTGAGGATGGGGCTCAATGGATGGATAGATTAGATGTATGGATGGTATGGAGATGGCTAAATAGAGAGTTTAGATTAGGTGGAGATGTATGGGAATGGATGGATAGATCAATAGATGAGTGTGTATTATATATATATATATAGTCGATCTTTTAGAAAGATATCTAATCTAATCTAATGTAATTCCTTATATATTAAAGTCAAAACAAATTTATTCCAGAGAAGTGTTTCCATGAGGTTTTTTCAATGCTTTGGACACACAAATTTTCAGGGATTTTCTTCTCTCGGGCAGACTCCATCCTTCACTTCGCATCCCGGTCCGGGACCAGAGGAAATTGGGAAAAGCCGGGATTCTCCTTGGAAGGGAAAACATGAGATTCCACCAGCTCCTTTCGGGGTATCAGATTTGGGAGACCTTCGAGTGCATGTAAATGATTTATAAATGCAATGGGACAAAGGCAAGCCACTTTGCAGTCAATGGAAATCTGGGAATCTCCTGCAGGCTGAGGACAGTGGAAGGATCCAAAGAGCAAAAAGATCCCAGCCAGAGGTGAGTGGAAAATGTCCCTTCGCGCACATTGGTTCTGAAAGAGAATAAGCGAAAACTATGGGATGGGCCATGGCTTGGTGCCGGGCATTCCTGGGGGCTGGGATATAGCAGGGGATTGGGGGGAGCAAGGATGTGTCTCAGTGCTGGAGGTTCCCAGGGGCTGGGATATAGCTGGGGGGGACGGGACGGGTCATGTCTTGGTGCTGGGGGTTTCCCGGGGGATGGGATATAGCAGGGGGAGCGTCGTGTCTTGGTGCTGGGGGTTTCCGGGGGGATGGGATATAGCGGGGGTGGGTATGGGGATGTGTCTCGGGGGTGGGGGTTCCCGGGGGCTGGGATATAATGGGGGGGCATGGCTCTGTGTTAGGGGTTCCCGGGGGCTGGGATATAGTGGGCGGGGGGAAGGGGCTGTGTCTCGGTGCTGGAGGTTGCTAGGGGCTGGGATATAATGGGGGTGGAGGGGCCATGTCTTGGTGCTGGGGGTTTCCGGGGGCTGGGAAATAGTTGGCAGGGGGGAGGGGCCGTGTCTCGGTGCTGGAGGTTCCTAGGGGCTGGGATATAGTGGGCGGGGGAGGGGCCATGTCTTGGTGCTGGGGATTCCCGGGGGCTAGGATATAACTGTGGCCCAGGGTTGTATCTCGGAGCTGGGGGTTCCCAGGGGCTGGGATATAGAGGGGTGCTGGGGCCGTATCTCAATGCTGGGGGTCCCAGGGGCTGGGATATAGAGGGGGGCTAGGGCTGTATCTCAGTGCTGGGGGTCCCAGGGGCTGGGATATAGAGGGGTGCTGGGGCCGTATCTCAATGCTGGGGGTCCCAAGGGCTGGGATATAGAGGGGGGCTAGGGCTGTATCTCAGTGCTGGGGGTCCCAGGGGCTGGGATATAGAGGGGGGCTGGGGCCGTATCTCAGTGCTGGGGGTCCCAGGGGCTGGGATATAGAGGGGTGCTGGGGCCGTATCTCAATGCTGGGGGTCCCAGGGGCTGGGATATAGAGGGGGGCTAGGGCTGTATCTCAGTGCTGGGGGTCCCAGGGGCTGGGATATAGAGGGGGGCTGGGGCCGTATCTCAGTGCTGGCGGTCCCAGGGGCTGGGATATAGCAGGGTGCCGGGGCCGTATCTCGGTGCTGGGGGTCCCAGGGGCTGGGATATAGCAGGGTGCCGGGGCCGTATCTCGGTGCTGGGGGTCCCAGGGGCTGGGATATAGCAGGGTGCCGAGGCCGTATCTCGGTGCTGGGAGTCCCAGGGCTTGAGATATAATGGCGGGGAGGGAACAGGGCTGTGTATTGGTGCTGGGGGTTTCCAGGCGCTGGGATATAGCCTGGGACAAGTAGCCATGTCTGCGTTTGTGTCTGTTCCTCTCTGTCACGGAGTGTGGGGGAGTCAGGGCCCTGCACCCCTCTTCCTGTGATTCCCCGGGACTCTCAGCCAGCCAGTAAAGTGGAAGGTTTATTAGCCGACAGGAACACAGTCCCAAACAGAGCTTGTAGGTACAACCTCAGTCAGGTCCCTCTGGGGGGCAGAGAGCTTAGACCCCAGCCCTGGGGCTCCCTCCATTTCCCCAGACTGCTCCAAAATGAACCCCCCTCAGCCGTCTCCCCCCCGTCTCCCCCTCGTTCCTCCTCCAGCCTTTGTCCAGTTTCCCAGGCAAAGGTGTCACCTGGTCCCAGCCCCCTCCTGGCTCAGGTTACACGCTCAGGTATCGTCCCTCAAGTCAAGTCACCCCTGCTCTCCCATCCCCAATGCCGACAGTCCCGGTAAAACTCCCCTGTGACACCCCCAGGTCAACACTCCCCCCTCCCTGCTGCGTCACATCTCTCCCCCCTTCGAGACTGAACGGAGCGGGGTCACTCTGACCCGTGACCTGGGAAGTTCAGGGCCCCCTCTCCGGGACAGCGCATCCGCTATCAGGTTGGCACTTCCCTTCACGTGGACCACGTCCATGTCGTAATCCTGCAGGAGCAGGCTCCATCTCAGGAGTTTGGCGTTGGCTCCTTTCATCTGGTGCAGCCAGGTCAGGGGAGAGTGGTCGATGTACATGGTGAAGTGTTGCCCGAAGAGATAGGGCTCTAGTTTCTTGAGGGCCCACACCATGGCCAGGCACTCCTTCTCGATGGCCGCGTAGTGTTGCTCCCGGGGTAGCAACTTCTTGCTCAGGTACACGATGGGGTGTCTCTCCCCCTTTCCATCCTCCTGCATTAACACCGCCCCCAGTCCCGTGTCTGAGGCGTCGGTGAACACCAGAAAGGGCTTGTCAAAATCTGGGTTTGCCAGAACTGGGCCACTGACCAGAGCCTCCTTCAGCGCCCGGAAAGCCTCCTGGCACTGCTCGGTCCAGACCACCTTGTCTGGCTTCCCCTTCTTGCATAGCTCAGCGATGGGGGTGGTGATGAAGCTAAAGTGGGGCATGAACCTTCGATAGTATCCTGCCAACCCAATAAAGGCTTGGACCTGCTTTTTGGTGTGGGGAGCGGGCCAGTCTCTGATCACCTCCACCTTGGCTGGTTCCGGCTTTAGGCGGCCGCTCCCCACCCGATGGCCCAGGTAAGATACTTCCGCCATCCCCACCTTCCACTTCTCCGCTTTTACAGTCAGCCCAGTCCCCTGGGGTCGGTCCAGCACTTGTCTAACCTGGGAAACGTGGTCCTCCCAGGTCTGGCTAAAGACACAGATGTCATCAATATACGCCACGGCAAAACTCTCCATCCCCCTCAGGAGCTGGTCCACCAGGCGCTGGAAGGTGGCCGGCGCTCCCTTGAGGCCGAAAGGCAGGGTCAGGAACTCATAGAGCCCCAGAGGGGTGATAAAGGCCGATTTCAGCCGGGCCTCTGCATCCAGCGGCACTTGCCAGTAGCCCTTTGTAAGGTCCATGGTGGTGAGGTACCGAGCTCCTCCCAGCTTGTCTAGGAGCTCGTCCGGCCTGGGCATGGGGTAGGCATCAGATACAGTGATGGCATTGAGCTTCCGATAGTCCACGCAGAACCGGACCAACCCGTCCTTTTTGGGGACCAGCACCACCGGCAAGGCCCAAGGGCTGGCAGATGGCTGGATCACCCCCAAAGCCAGCATGTCCCGGATCTCTCTTTCCAGGTCCTGAGCAGTTTTCCCTGTGACTCGGAAGGGGGAGCATCTTATCGGCGGGTGCGACCCGGTCTGCACCCGGTGGACAGTCAGATTAGTGCATCTAGGCTGGTTGGAAAACAGCTGTCAGTACGGATGCAGCACCCCTCTGACCTCAGCTTGCTGGGCAGGGGTTAGCTGATCCGAGAAGGGAATTGTTTCCAGGGTGGAACCAGCTCTGGTCCCAGGGAATAGATCTACTAAAGGTTCATCTCCCTGCTCCTCCCACTGTCCACAGACGGCCAATACCACATTCCCCCTGGCATAATATGGCTTCATCATATTCACATGGTACACCCGGCGGTGGTGCGCCCGGTTCGACAGCTCCACCACATAGTTTACCTCATTGAGCTGCTTGACAACCTTGAAAGGGCCCTCCCAGGCGGCCTGTAGTTTGTTCTTTCTCACAGGGATGAGAACCATCACCGGATCCCCGGTGGCGTAGGCACGGGCCCGTGCCGTGCGGTCATACCAGACCTTCTGCTTCTTCTGGGCTCTGGCCAGATTCTCCCTGGCCAGGCCCATGAGTTCAGCCAGTCTCTCTCGGAAGATCAGGACATACTCCACCACTGACTCTCCATCGGGAGTGGCCTTCCCCTCCCACTCATCTCTCATCAGGTCCAGGGGGCCCCTCACCCTCCTTCCATATAACAGTTCGAAAGGCGAAAATCCGGTAGACTCCTGGGGCACCTCCCTGTACGCGAACAGCAGGTGAGGTAAGTACTTGTCCCAATCCTGCGGGTGCTGGTTCATAAAGGTTTTCAGCATCATCTTTAGCGTCCCATTGAACCTCTCCACCAGCCCATTGGACTGGGGGTGATAAGCTGAGGCCCAGTTGTGCCGGACCCCACATTTCTCCCACAAGCACCGGAGCAGGGCCGACATGAAGTTGGAGCCTTGGTCTGTCAAGACTTCCTTGGGGAACCCCACTCGGCTGAAAATGGTCAGGAGCGCATCGGCCACGGCGTCTGCTTCAATGGAAGCTAAGAGCACTGCCTCGGGGTAGCGGGTGGCAAAATCTACCACCAGCAGAATGTATTTCTTCCCCGACCGGGTCGTCTTGCTGAGAGGTCCCACGGTGTCCATGGCCACCTTCTGGAAAGGTTCCTCTATGATGGGTGTAACCCTTCTGCCCTTCAAAAGAGTTGGCAGCAACAAGGGCCAGGTTCAATATCTAGGGGATCCATTCCAATAACACAATGCAAACCGGCTCGAGCCTCCACCGAGTGACCTGGGACAAATATATACCACCCCCTCTGTGCGCCTCCAAGAGGCAATACTTCCCCTCTCCCAAGCACATAGTCTGAGTGTAGCAAAAAGCCTTTTAATAACAGAGAGAAACAATGTGACATTATGTTGGGGAAACACCACCAACAGGATTCATAACACAACCCATGAGCAAAAGACCCACCCCAAGCAAATTGGGGCGTGTCCTTTCCCTTTGGTTCTTGAGTCCAGCAACCGCAAATCACCCAAAGTCCCAAAAGTCCAATGACCCAAAAGTCTCTGTCCCTGGTCAGGGCAGCCCCAGAGTTCGAAAGTTTATCTGCGGAGCTTTACCTCCCAATCTGGGTGGAGATGGGATGGGGGTAAGAGGCACCTTACATGATCTGAAGCTGACCACCCCACAGCTCCATAGGCCTTCGCTCCGCTCCGCCAGCCACCCCACGAACTCCTTCGCTCAGCTCCGCAGCCCACCAGCAGCTCCCGCCGTCCTACGAACTGCTCTACTGGCCTGTCCACAAGGCACTCCAGCCATCCGGCAAACTGCTCCACAATATATCTTCAGGCTCCCCCACTACTTAACACAGCACTCAGTGATTTCAGCTCTTAGGTGAATTCAGCTTGTAGTAGGGGAGCCTCAGTGCTCCTGCACCATTAGTGA